TTCTTCAATACAGAGATGTGGGTTGGCTTCGGAAGTTTTCGAAGCCTTCTCGCTCCAAATGCTAAAAAAAGCTGCGAACGGGAGAAAGAACTTCCGATGTCAATCCACATGTCTACTTTGAAAAATGCCCGTAAGATACCGGTCGAAACGCGGAACGTTGATATATCAATCTTCTGACTGAGATACAGTTTGCATAATGTATAAATATAGTAATATAATGTATAAATATAATCATGTTTTATGCTGGTTTTGATGTGACCATCGACACACGAACGAAATAATCAAAGAAACTTTGGATAAAGATGATCTATGTGACCGAAAGTCGATCAGCACATGTTTCCCCAATCACTTAAAGGACAGTAAAAAATGCTTTGATATCACTCACTGATATCGAGGTCTCGTCAATAAAAAACTACAGCACAAATAAAAACAGGCGATAAGAGTAGCTATGAATAAAGAACAATAGTGAAAATGAAAGCAATTCCCTTCGGTGCTAATATAACCATGAAGGCCCGTCCCGGTCGGAATTAAACATTAGAAAACGATCGAATACTTAACAACGACAATAACGACAGACTGGCAAATCTCACTTTACAAAGTTTCTGCGTTGAATCCGCCTAGGAAGAGAATACTCAGAGCGCAACCCTAGGGGAAGCACTGAGACCACAACGTCGGTAGCTATTCACAAAGGCAGAAACACGCAACTCGCCGCCACAGGATGGCGCTTAAGAATTGAAGTCTTCTAATTAAAGGCTTTGAACGAGTTTATTAATTAGCAGCATTTGTGACAAATTTCTAACAATAGGAAAACACTCTGCCGTTGGGGTTAACAATTAACTTAACCAAAAAGCATCACTGCACATAATATCAACCAACTTAAACAAATATGAACTTGAAAAGTGAAAAACATCAAGCTGTTTTTTTATTGTTAATCCGGACGATAGGCGATGTCCTTAATAACGGAAACTGTCGTGCAAACAGAAAAATTCCAGGCTGAACTCTGCCCCCCCGCTTTAGCCACTGAACCATATGACCCTTCTTATTCGCGATCACTAAACGGACATTAGTCATCGAAGGCAACAACAGCGTTTACTGCACTAGATGTCTGAGTTACTCTTATCATTTTTGACTTTCGGAAGTGAAGTCGACGCTTCAGACTGATACGACTATCGACAACGCACGCAGCACCGCAAAATGTACATGAACTAAGTAGATGTTCAACAGCAGCTCACTCACCGACTTCCTCGACAAGCAACGAAATGAGACCGTCGTCGATGAAAATACGAGAGTTTTTCTTCAGTCGCTGGATGATTCCGTGATAATCGATGAACAGCAACGACGCCGAACAAGAGTCTTTGTACTTTTCATCAACGACCACTTTGATTTTATCGCCTTTTTCCAACTGAACTTCGGCTGAGGCACCCTGAAAAAACACGGGAATAGTTGATACCGAGGAATACACGAAACAAGACAATTTTCTTTGTTTACGAAACGTAGGTTGTCTATCAATGAAATCTGGCAATTTCGACGAAATCTAGCAAGCCCGTCTCGCCAGAAGCAGGCCTT